GAACAAGTCCCCAGAGTATTGTCTTAAATTTGCGCGTATTCCTCCTGTAGAAGGACATGCCCGACTTAACTGTAGGAGGAAGAGGAGGACGATGAGGAGCAGGGAGGGTGGCACGAGGAAGAGGAGGAGAAAGCAAGAACAATGGGGGGGAGAACAGCGGGAGTGGGTAGGGGGAAGGGGTAGGAACAAGCTAGGTGCGCTCGCGTCACATCTGGCGTCCGACCCCTCCCTCCCATCCCTCACCAAGGCGCAGATCTCCTCTCTATTCGCACAGTCGGATGTCGAGCAAGGGCGAAGATAAACAAGGGGGCACGATTGAGGGAAGAGAAAAATGGACGCGAGATGCGGGAAAGAGCGATCGTGGGGCCTTGGGTGAGGGAGGCAGGCGAGGGTACGAAGCAGGGCAGCAAGGAGAGAGAAGGGGGAGGGAAGTGGATGCTCGGCCTGGAGAACTTCAGCAAGGCAGCTTCCCGACCCTGGCAAGAGGGGATATTTAGAATGGGGCAGCATGCCGCGGTGAAGCGATGCCACGCCACAGCAGCGCGCACAGTGAAGGGCCGTGCTTCGGGAGAGAGAAGCGGAGGGAGCGTCGAAGGGAAGAAGGCACCGCCGCCATCACAGTCATCGTGCTGCCGCCAAGAACACCACATAAGGGAAGGTAGGGACGCTTCTGGCCACGGCGAGCCTCGGCCACGAATAGGTTCGCCGGCATAGACCTAGGGAACCGCCCAAAGATCAGAGCCCCATCCTGAGCCCAAAGGCGGCCTTAGTTCGACGTCTCGACAATCAGATCCCCCAAAGAACTCAAAGAGGATGAGGAATCCCAGACCCGAGCGACGTTAATTGTTTTCGTTGGCCCCGCAGAACTCTCGACGTCAGCCCCAAGACCGAATGTTCAGTCCACATGTATGTCTGCTTGCTCCAGAGACCGAACTCGGCCCCGCGGAGGCCGAATTACGAAACGGACTCTCGTCATGTTTTTGGCGACTCTCGGAGGTCTGAGGAGGACGGACGATCCATCCCAGGACGCTGCCCCCCAATCGCCCCCCCCCCCCCCCCCCCACAATGACCGCACTGCCGGTGGTATTCCAAGGCCCTCCCTCCCTCGGCCTGGCTGCGAGGACGCCGCATGGAGCGCCCAGCACCCAGAGCCGCACTGCATGCTTGTTGCTGCTTTCCTCTCTTTCTCTCACCCTCTCTCTCTCTCTCTCTTTCTCTCCTCCTCCTCCTCCTCTTCCTCCTTCCTCCTCCTCCTTCTCTTTCCTCCGCCTCCTCTCCTCCCCCCCCTCCCCCTCCCCCTTCCACCCCCCCCACCCCCCCACCCTTCTTCCTCCTTCCCCACCTCCTCCACCTCCTCCTCCTCCTCCTCCCCGCCTCCTCCTCCTCCTCCTCCTCCTCCTCCTCCCTCCTCCTCTCCTCCTCTCCCCCCTCTCCTCCTTCTTCCTCCTCCTCCTTCTCCTCCTCCTCCTCCTCCCCACTCCCTCCACCCCGCCTCCTCCCTCCTCCTCCTCCCCTCCTCCGCCTCCTCCTCCTCCTCCTCCTCCTCCTCCTCTCCTCCTCCTCCTCCCCTCGCTCCTCCGCCTCCTCTCCTCCCCCCTTCCTCCAGTGACAATTGCTGCTCATGGTCTCGCGCCCTCGGGGGAGCAATGTGGGCGCGACCCTCGTCGCCACGCCGAACCAGTCGCCCCGACATCCAGCCCACATCCAACCCGAGCGCGACGCGCTGTAGGAGCTGGGCGCACGGCTAACATTGATTACGCATCCCGTTGGGCTGACGTGCGCGCACAGGGGTGTGTGGAGGGGGAGGGCATCTTAAAGAAGGAGGCTGCTTCTTCGAAGGCGCCGGCCTTACATCTATAGATATTGGCCCGCGCCTTCTCAGAAGTGCTTCTAAGGAGCCCTCCCCCCTCCCCCCACACCCCTCTGCGCGTGGCTGAAACATGGATTACGGATGGGTGGGGCTGCGCCAGCCCCACGGATCGGGGAAGGCACCTCCGAACCGTGGCGCCACTGCCGCCTACTGTGGTGACGGAGCGCATCGACTTTGGCAGGGAATCGGGGCCTGGTCGTGAATCCACGCGCCTCAATCCGTGTCTGCGCCTCCGAGGAGTGACGGGTCCAGAGAGGTCAAACCTTGTGTAGGGCCGAAGGGTCAGGTCTGCAGACACCGAGGAACGGGCGTCACGGGTGCAACCACTCTGGGCGCTTCAACCGCGCGCTCCATACGCCCCCCTTTATGGACGCCCTTGACGAACCCCCCCCCCCTTGATGCATCTGCTTGACGGCCCCTTTGACGTCCGCTCTTTGGGGGTCCTGCAGAGGAGGGCGCTCTCTGACTCTCAGCCCTGCCCAAGGTCAGCCCCAAGGGAGGAGGCCCCCGAGCTCGGATCGGGTCGGGCGAAAGGGGGGGATAGCCAAGGGGGGGTTTGAGAATCAGCTCACGCAGCTGATTTTCCCGGCGCCTCCCGGCGCCAGGAGGCGACCATGTTTTGAGGAAGAGGCCCCTCGGCGGGGCCGAAACCAGCTGCATGCAGCAAATTTCGTAACCCCCCCTTTCCCAATCCCCCCCTTTCGCCCGACCCGAAGGAGGCCCCCGAGCTCGGAGGATGGACGCCAGCTGTCCGCCCGCACCGATCCTCGATCCCGGCCGGGCCCGCTCTGGCGCGCAGGAGCGGCAGCTGCTCCGTCCTGGCCTCGCCACGGAGGCGTGCGCGGCAACTCTCTGTGCCACGGGGTGATGTTTCCAGGGCTCATACACCGGAAGTTCTCGCGCAGAACATATCCCCCCAAGAAAAGCAGCATCTGCAAGCTGCGCTATCTGAAAAAAGTGGCGCAGGTATGACTACCCTGGGATCCTGGTGTTATGCCTTATGCTCAGACAGCTCAGCGTTTGATCTGGAAGTGTCTTTCTTCTTTGATCGTGAAGGTATCCGCCGCCGTGCCTTCAGCATGACGTGGAGTGCCCCAAGGCTGACGCGGTTCAACCAGAAGGAACAACAAAACGCCATGAAACAAACTTTTGACGGTCCGCGCGGATTTCTTGGATCTGCGCTGGGACCCTCCTGGCGGCGCCTCCGGCGCCGCCCCTGGCGCGCTCCGCGGGCCAGCGAGGGGGGGAAGTCCCAAGCGTAAGGAATCCGAAACCCGCGCGGAGCCCAAAAGGTCTGTTTAGCAGATGGTCCCCCTTATCACGAGGGGTGGATGGTGGGCGACGCCTGGCGCCTGGGCACCACCACCTCCTCCTCCTCCTCCTCCTCCTCCTCCTCCTCCTCCTCCTCCTCTCCTCCTCCTCCTCCTCCTCCTCCTCCTCTCCTCCTCCTCCGTCCTCCTCCTCCACCTCCTCCTCCTCCACCTCCTCCTCCGCCTCCTCCTCCTCTCCTCCTCCACACTCCGCTCCACCTCCTCCTCCTCCTCCTCGCCTCCTCTCTCCTCCTCCCCCCTCCTCCTCCTCCTCCTCCTCCTCCTCCTCCTCCTCCTCCGCCTCCTCCTCCTCCTCCTCCTCCTCCTCCTCCTCCTCCCTCACTCCCCTCCTACCTCCCTCCTCCTCCTCCTCCTCCTCCCTCCTCCTCCTCCTCCTCCCCTCATTCCACCTCCTCATCCTCCTCTCACTCCTCCCTCCTCCTCCTCCTCCTTCTTCCCTCCTCCTCCTCCTCCTCCCTCCTCCTCCTCCTCCTCCCTCCTCCTCCTCCTCTCCTCCTCCTCCTCCTCCGCCTCCTCCTCCTCCTCCTCCTCCTCCTCCTCCTCCTCCTCCTCCTCCCCCCCCTCCTCCTCCCGAGGGTGGATGGAGGTTCGACGACACTCCTGACATTCCCGGGCTCTGCCGGGCACTTCGGGGGGGCGACCCGCAGGGGCCTCCGGGGGCGGGGCCCTTCGCGCGGAGGGGGCCCCGCCAAGGGGCCGACAGAGCCCCAGGAGGCCGGCCCAAAGATCGCCGAAAGATCGCCCAAGATCGCCCAAACTCGCCGAAAGATCGCTCCAAGAAGCCCAAACTCGCCGAAAGATCGCTCCAAAGAGGCCGACAAGGCCCAAACTCGCCGACAGGTTGCTCCAAGAAGCCCAAGATGGCCTCCAGGCGGACCCAGGGCGCCTGCAAGATGCCCCGAGAGGCTTCCAAGAGCACTCCCAGGAGGGTCCCAGGAGCAACTCGCTGGATGCCGTTGGGTTTTTGACAGATTTTCGCGCGTTTCTGCTTTTTCAGCTTGCCGACACTCCAGGACGGCCTGAGAGGCCCCAGAGATCGCCCCAGGATGACCGAAGAGGCCGCCAAGAGGGCGCCAAGACAGCCCAAGAGGCTTCCAAAACGGCCCAAGAGGTTTCTGACACGGCCGAAAAGAGCCCCAGGAACGCCCCAAGAGAGGCCCCAGAGAGGGAACACGAACCCAAATGCCGAGCTCACCGCTACGAGCTCCCTGGGAGGCCCCAAGGAGGGGAGGGTGGTGGACTCTATCTTGCTTAAGACCTCGATGGAAAAGAACGGAGAGGGGGCTGCAAGCTTCCTGGACGGGCCTTTGCATACCCCACCCCCAGTCGGGAGACCCTCCCGACCTCTTCGCCAGATCCCACCCGGCTCTCCAAGACAGCTCAGATCAGACCCTCCCTCTCCTCCTCCTCCTCCTCCTCCTCCTCCTCCTCCTCCTCCTCCGACCCCCGAGATCAGACCACCCCCCTATTGTTTTGGAGCCAGAGTCGCGTCCCCCGGGGCCTCCCTGCGCCCGTCCACCCTCCCCCATCCCGCCAGCCTGCGCCAGGAGCGGAGAGGGACTGACGCAGTCTGGGGGTGCGCGGCAGCGAACGTGTCCGCGGTCCTTTTCCATTATCCACGCGAGGGGGAACCCTCGATGTAAGCGTCAGTGTGTGTTCCAGAAAGACTGGCCGCGAACAACGAGGCTGAGCACAGTCTTAGCTTCGTCTCCTCCCCGCCTGCCTTGGCCAGTGCTGACACGGGAGGTCCGAATATTTGGAAGTGTCCGCGTCGTAACGACCATTAGGCAGATATCGAATCACGCCTTCATCAAGGAGAAGAGCTGGTCCGCGACAACGAACTGTATGGCCTGCGACAGGAAGATTTGTGGCACACGCGCTGAAATTCCAGCACCGAATGCCCTGAACCCGCGATCTGCAACGATCTCCCTGTAACAAGCCAACCACCCCTTGCCCCCACCACCAGACTGCATCTTTGTCTTTATCACGTCTACCGGATTATTCATCACTACAGAGATTGCACCTCCCGTGCCACCAGCCATGAAACTCGCATGAAACGGCAGCGGCTCACCCGCGGGTACGCCTGAGAGGAGGCGCCACGCGTCTTTCACGTGCCCTGCAATAGTGAACCGGATGGCCGCGTTCGTTCCCGAACGCATGGCTGTAGGCGTCCACCCAGTCCACAAGCCCAATACACCATGAACCCTCATGATCTCACGATACGGTGTCGACGCCTGCCCTGTGCCGGCCGCGAGCTGCCGCAAAACTTTCAGCCGCTCGGCTGGTGCAGTCCAAATCAGCGCCTCGAAAGTTCCTGCCCCCATGCCGCAGGTGATCGTCCAGAAGGTGACATTTTGAGAACGATCAAAGCCGAGAGAATCGACAACATCATAGAGCACACGGAACGATCCCCATCGTGCAGCTGCCTTGCCTGCTGCCATCACCAAAAAAGGCATATACCCCCTGTAGAACCCAGTAATGCCATCCCTGACGAAGATGGTGCGAAATGCGCCCGTAACGGACATGCCCATTTGCTTATCCGCCGACCCCTTGTGAGTCTCCAGGCGTGTGAGATTGTTCCCCCCCCATAATCCCACCCAGGGACCCCGAACGGGAGTTTTGACCACCCCCCTGGCCCCGGACGAACGCGTCATGGGAGCATAGAGGGCCCCTAAACGGGCCAAGAGGGCCCCAAGTGGGCCCCAAGACGATCCAAGAGGGTCCCGAATCGTCGAATGATCGTTCCAATACGCCCAAGATGGCATCCAGACGGCCCAAAATGCATCCAAAACGCCCCAAGAAGCCTCCAAAAGGCCCCGATGACAGCCCCAGGGGGCCCCCGGACGGCGCCAAAAGGGGGCCCACGGGGGGAACCCGAACCCACATTTCCAGCCTTCGGCCCCAGGACGCCCCCAGGTTGCCTCAAGAAGCCCCCAACACGCCCCCAAAAGCCCCCAGGGAGCCCGAACAGAGCCCTCAAACGCCCCCAAGAACCTTCCAGGAATCAGACAAGCCTCATGGAATTCAGCCCTGGACGCGCATCGGCGGATGTGGCGTAAGCCTATAGAATTGTTTTGCATTTGCGTTTTGACCGTGTCGAAAGGCATTGTGAAGATTGAATCCGTACCCCCTGCAACGGCACCTGTCAGGAAACTTATGGCACCGCGGCGCCAGTCCAGCTTCGACTCTGCCATGGCGCTGCCCCTCGGCAGCCCCAGCGGCGGCTTCTGCTGAAGGCGCACTTGGCGCAGTCAACGGCCGCAGTATTCGCGGCTGCTTGTCTCGGGCTTGAGCTTCTGATGGCGATGAGCAGATGGTGTTGCCACTGGGAAAAAAGTAAGCACGTACAAGAACTGCACACCGCCAGCTGCCAACCTATCCGACGGAGAGGCTTCAAAGGCAGGAGCTCGACATGAGGCCTAGGTGCAGGAAGGATGTGCTCAGGAATTCCGTGGCGAGGTGGGGAGAGCATGCGGACTAGAAGGTTTCAGGTTCTAGGTGTGCGTTTCTCCAGGGTTCGAGTAAGGGTAGTAGCAGCAGGAGCACGAACGCATCTTGGGAACCTCAAGAGCTTGCGCTCAGAAAGCTTCAGAGCGATGTGCGGGGGGCTCCGTGGCGCCAGGACGAAGGAAGAGGACAAGGAGGAGTGGCGAAGGGGAGAAGGAGGAAGCAGAAGGCGACTGGGGAAACCACGAGGCAAGAGGTACCGATACTGCTACTCTCTGGACCTCTCCCAGGGTGCGTCCTG